TGGATATGAGGACTTGGGAGGCATTGCATCCACTTTTGGCTCCTTATGGTTTATTGCTTGATTGTGTTCATTTTGGACCCTTGTTACCTTCTTTGTAAAATATTAACTTAAGTATTTACACTTGGTAACTTACTTACTAACTTACTGGGCATAACTGTAACTTGCTTACCTTGTGACTTAAGTATTTACAATTGTTAAGTACTTACTGGGTGTAACTTGCTGGGCGTAACTTACTTACTGTAACTTACTGGGTGTAACTGACTTACTGGGCTTAACTTACTGGGTATAACTTAGTGGGTGTAACTTGCTTACTGCAACTTAAGTATGTTGATCTGGCATAAACAACATTAACTTCAGAAAAGTATATAGTGGAACATATTGCAAAAATAAAATTGCTGCTTGGACATAGCCTAAGCCAGCCCTCCAGACTCCGCTTTTCTTTTTTCTTTCATTTCCGTGCACTCTCTCCCTCAGGTTGAATGAGACATCTACTTTGGCAGTCTCGGGGACTCCTGCAGGTCGGTAGCCCCCTGGCAGACGTGCCGGACCCCAACATGCCTGTAATCCCAACTACTTGGGAGGCCGAGGCAGGAGAATTGCTTGGACCCTAACCTAACCCTGTGACCCCAATCTTCAAGTTCCAATCTGAGCTCACCAGCTGTGTGACTCTGAGGTTAGCCTGCTTCATCCCTCCAAGAAGAATGTGGGTCCTTGTGGGTGGATGTGTGAGTGCAGCATGGTGGCTCTGTGAGTTTGTCATGAACTTCTTATAGTGTCCTTCTTCCTATGTTTTAGCAGTGGGAAGGTGATGGAAGGAAGGAAGTGCTCTTGGGGGAGATAAGAGGCAGCTAAGGCTATGCTGACTGCATTAGACATTAAGGTCTAGAGATGTGAGACATGAATTCCCCAAAGATGATGCTGCCAGTCCAGCATGGTCTTTCTAGCTCAGCAAATTGCTGCCTTTTGTCTTGGTCCTGCCAGGACTACCATGCCCTCTGTATATTGCTTCTTAACATGCTTGGTTGAATCTTAATGGCTTCTTGCCTACCTCAATCCAACTTGCTGCACTGTGGTCTTTCTGAGTCTTTACTGACCCTCCCTGCTGCTGCCTTACCAGAGAGAGGGAAGGCACAACCACTGTTTCTTCTTCCATTCTCCATGGTGCTTAGTAGCACACAGGCATGAGAAAACACTGTTTCAGTGACTAGGCAGAAAAAGAACAAAGAAGAACAATGATGAGAGAACTTGTTCACCAACAGGAGATGAGCTTGTCTGGGAACGTCAGCCTCTAGAGATGGACCGGGATTTGTAAACCAATAATAGAGACCACATGAGTTGGTTTAGCACTTCAGTGTCAAACAGCTAAGCCTAATGAACATCATACTCCCTTGTTTCTGTAGTTTAAAATGTCAAGTGTATCAAAGCATTGCCAGTAACAAGAAGTCAGAGGAACAAGTCAACACTAATAAGGAACCAAGCTCTTAAGGCACAAAAGTCAGCAAAAGGTGTGAAGCCTCGAGGCCTGTGAAATGGTAGAGAACAATGTTAGAGAGCAAAGGGAACGGGAGGCTCAACTTTCTGTGTTCATGGTTTTGATCAAAGTTAACCCAATCTTGCCCTGCTCGTACTGGGTTGATGAGTGCCAATGGCTCTGTTACACTGTACCACACCCCACTGTAGAGCAAAGCCAGTGAAGGGTGAAACCGGAACCTTGGGATTAGACTTAGTAGCTAGTGGCAATAGTGGGCCACCTTGAGGATGAAGAGGACAGTGCAGAGCCACTTCCAGGAGAGGGGTTTGTTCGCATTTTCTATTCATATTACTATCTGTATCCCATGCTCTTCCTTAATCTTGTTCTGTACCCCAAGACCCCATTTTTTGGCCTGCTATTTGGAGATAGGAGTGTACGCTGTCACCAGTGACACATGAGGCTAGTTACCCAATCATCACCTTCCAGTGAGCTGGTCAGAAGAAAGATTTTGAAATCTATGCATTCAATATAAACAGTTTCCCATCCTGTGCATCAAAAAGTAGGGTAGAGCCTCTTTGTCACTTCTGAAACAAAGCCTCTCTCTGCTGTTGTCTCAACAATCCGTTGGGTGTCTTCTTAGAGAAAAATAGACTCTAGTTCCCACATGTTTTTTGTGGTCCTGCTATGCAGCAATATAAATAAGAATTTATATACTATTACTTATACATCCAGTAAATATTTATATATATATATTTTTGCCACAAAAGCACATGAAGCATTATAAAAGAGGTTTCTACTCTTAGGGCTGAATAAAGCCATCACTTGGAGTGAAGAAGTAATCTATCAAGTGAGGCAAAGAGGGGTGTGTGTCCTGATTCCTGAGCCACAATTCCCTGTCTTGAATTGTACCTGGATTTACTCTTGGCTGGATAGAGGTGCTCCTGAATACACACACAAGTACATGCATGCACACAATGTCATGAACACGCTTCGTTTTTAATCTGCTCTTTGACTTCTCACAGATATTTTATTAGTTCATTCTGTCTTCCATTCTGTTAGACTGTTATTCCACACTGACAAACACTAATTTTGCCTGGACTGTGTTTTTGGTGAAATGTGTTGGTATCTGACTTAAGCTGAATATGGTGGACAGAGCAAAACTACTTGGAAATGAAATTATATTTGAAAACCCACATGCAAGGGTCAGTGAGGATAGTCATAAATTGAATAATACTTATTAGTATTACCAATTTAAAAAATTAAGAACTCAACCATGTTTAGACAGGTTGGCTAGTTTTGTTAGTGCTGGGTGGAACACTCATTAGAAATGCCTGTGTTTCTTTTTCATCACGGTACATTTATTAAGGCATGTTGTGTATCAAGCATTGTTATCAAGCATTGTGCTAAGTGCTTTATAATATTTCATTTAATCCTGCAATGGCCTCATGGGCAAGATTCTATTACTAATCCCAACTTAGCCTCCATAGCACAGATGAAGTAACTGGAGTTAAGAAGATAAGCAACTTTCTGAAGGTCACATAACTAGAAAACTGCTGGGTTTGACTAGACAGCAAACCTAATGTCTCTACCCCTGCTCTCTGTGTTTGTAACCACTACCCTATATTGTCCACACAATTATTTGAATGCCTCTTAGCTTAGATTCACTGTGGCACAGCATGGAATTATTGCTTCCAGAGATTTTCTTCCATGCAGCTTTAAACAATTTATTTATTTTTGTGGTCTTTGTGAATCTGTCTCTCATCATTTGTAAGTTCCATAAGGAAAGGATTAAGATTCTCAAATGTCAGCAATTATCATAGTCTAATACTTTTCTCATGGCCAGTACTCAGTAAATGTGGGTTGGTGGGATGCCAAGTACATAACCTCCCAAGCCAAACAGATGTGCATTTGAATCTGAGTTTGCTGTGTACTAAAGCTGTCGCCTTGGGCATCAGTGTCCCATTCTGAGAAGGGAACACAATGACAACTGTCTTACAGTCATTGAAAAGCTTAAGTGAGACAAAATACTTAGCACAGTGCCAGGTTCATAGGAGGCCCTCAGTATACAACAGTGTATTAGTCTGCTGTGGCTGCCGTAACAAAATACCACAAACTGGGTGGCCTAGACAACAGAAATTTATTTTCCCACAGTTCTTGAGGCTGAACATGCAAAAGCAAGGTACTGGGCAGATTTGGTTTGTGGAGGCCTCTCTCCTTGGCTTGTGTATGGCTGCCTTCTCACTGTGTGCTCACACAGGCTTCTCTCTGTACATGTGCACCTCTGGTGTCTTTTCCTCTTCTCGTAAGACACCAGTCATTGTATAAGGCATCAACCATATGACCTCATTTAGCCTTAATGACCTCTTTAAAACCTCTATCTCCAAATACAGCCACATTTTAAGGTACTAGGGATTAGGGTTTCAACATATGAATTTGGGAGTGGAGAAGACACAATTTAGTCCATAACAGATGGTTATCATTATTGCAAATGCACTGAGTTCTAAATATCTAGAAATTCAAAATAAATGTTGGTGTCAGACCCAAGAATGGGGGTTCCTTTAAAGTGTCCCAATTACAATTCTAGTTCTTCCTCTCCTTGGTGCCTTAGAGAAGGCAATCAAGAAAGGCTTTTTTTCTTTAGGGAACGGTACCATATTCACTCTTGGAAAGAAATATATTCAATATGGGGGTATCCAAGATACACTGGAGGGAAACATGATACATCAAGTCCAAGTTAAAGATAAGAGGTGGGTGTGATGGCGTATGTAATCCCAACACTTTGGGAGGCCAAGGCAGGAGGATCACTTGAAGCTAGGAGTTGGAGACCAGCCTGGGCAAGATCCTGTCTCTACAGAAAAAAAATTAGCCAGGCACAATGGTCCACACCTGCAGTCCCAGCTACTTGGGAGGCTGAGGTGGGAGAACTGCTTGAGCCCAGGAGTTCAGGACTGCAGTGAGCTAGGATCACAACACTGCAGTGCAGCTGCCTGGGTGAAAGAGTGAGACACTGTCTCTTTAACAAAAAAAGGTAAGGATCAGGGAGCTGTAACCTTGTCAAATGTAATTATCAGGCTGCTCTTTCTGCCAGGGAAAAGACACTCTTGTGGAGAGCTGGCAGGGAGTGCTTCTCCAGTCTAAGAATCTTGTTGTGTGCACCCTCCTTTACCATGCCTAGGTTCCTATCATTACACTCCCTGTATTTAGAAAATTATGTACGACTATTCTGTTGAGAAAAGGCCCAGGAAAGATTTCCCTTTCTCAGGGAGTCCTACTGACAATCCCAGTTTGCCTCACCTTGCCTAGCTTGACAGAGCCCCTGGCCTGCAGCTCTGATCTTCTCTACTGCCCCTGACAAAGTTCTTCCTGGTGCCTCTAAGCACAGGCAATGCCTCTCACTTCGATCTCCCCTTACCTTTTGTCCTTTTCTCTCCTACAGCATTTACCATAGACTATTCTCCATTGAAGCTGCTGTGCAGTCATCCACTCATCCAGTTCATTAGACAAATACTTAGGGCTTGCTATGCATCAGGTACATTGCCAGGTGCTTGCTGCACAGGTATCTATGCATCCCACGAGACAGGGACTCTCTGAAGGGCAGAACAGAACAGAAACTGTACCTGCCTCATTTTTGTACCAGATAGAAAGTCCAGCCCTTAGCAGGCTGCCCCTAAATGTTTGCTAAGTTCAATGGAAAGATGTCAAAGGATCCTCAGGAGGAAGAGGGGGTTAGGAAAGTAAAAGGAGGCAACGTCTTGAGGTCGGAAGAAAAGTTCCATTTCCAAAGGTCAGTAGGGAGGTTCCGACTCTTAATCCCCCTTCTGAGAAGGGAGGCCCCGACTAAGAGGCAGGGTGGCAGAGCCAGCAAGGGGAAAGTGTTAGGGACCAGTCCCAGAGCACAAGCAAGACAATCAGGCTGGTAAGTATCAGCTGCTCTTCCTACTCTGATGTTTCTGGAATTCGTGGGTAACGTGTTTTTGAATTTGCCTCCCGCTTCTGCCAAAGCAACAACATGATTTAATGATGTGGAGAGTCATTTGATAAAGCGGTTGATAATGATTTTTCTTTAGCTCTGTTTTGGGTCAGGGAAAGGGATCAAATCAAAGCTTAATACAAATGCTTATTACAGAAACCATGGGTGAAACTCAAGTTTTAAATAACCATATGTATTTTCCGTTAAACTTTCATAGTTTCTGATAATTAGGATCACTGATGGTTAGCACCACAGAAGGGTTAAATGTGTAAATACTGCTCTCTTGCTTTCAGCTGTGAAAGAAAGGAGATAAGAACAAGGACATATGAAGTGGGTATGAAACTGAAAGGAAGGGAGTTAGCATTTTTTTAGTGGCTACCACCTGCAGCTAGTTTCTTGTTGAATTCACACCCTTACAAGGCTTAGAAGTTAACTAACTTACTGGTAAGAAACTGCAATAAGTTATGACCATGTTAGAAACTTAAAGGGAAAAGGTGGAGAGTGGGGTAGAGTAAGAATTTGGACAGTTTTATAATTCTAACACCCAGAAATTGTGAAGGGGGGTTTGAATAGGGCTATGCATAAAATTCAAGTTGGAAATGAGAGAATGTGTGAGCAGAAGACCCTAAAATCTCTGCCAGCCTTGGCTGGGTGACCTAACTTTCACTTTTTATGTATTTGTGTCACTCAGAAGGAAAGATAAGCTGGCTACCACCTGGTGTCTCTCCTCCCCTCCCTTCCTCTCCTCCTCTGCCCCTGCCCAGCAGTGAAGCTAAGAAAGAAAGGAATAGTAGGGCTGGAGACTTAAAAGTTAAGACCAAATGGTGAATCCAGTTCAGGAAACAGAGGGGAGGAGGAAACCTTGAAGCTATAAAACAGAAAAAGCTGGGGGTACTGGGGGAAGGGAATAAAGGAATGTGTGCAAGAGGAAGAGTTGTTTAGTTGGGGGTAGGAGGATGAGAAACATGCTCTAGCGACCTTGCAGGATTCCCCTGAAGTCTGTGATGATCTGCTTGGGGGAAAGTGTGGCAACCACTTGGACCTCTCTGATTGTTTCATGCCTTTTTTTGACTATATAAATTTAGAGAGATCAGCATGAATCTAAAGTATGTTCAAACTTCCTTCGGATCCCTTCGTGCATGTTTTCTCTGTGGAGGGCAGGAGGAGAAAGGACATCTCCCATCTTCCTGAATCACTGAGTACTGAGATACCACCAGCCATGAGGTTTAGGGGGCCATGGTCCAGTTCACCTTATTCAATCACTGTCTATCTAGTGCTTTTCCTTACTGGGCCTCTTAATGGGGACAATTTCCAAAAGAGCTTTCCTGCTGAATGGGTGTGATGAATGGTATTATTTCCAGTATCTACTTTTTTACATGTGAGAGGATTCTACATGTGCATGCACTGCCATGTGACTCAGGCCTCCCATGGAATGACGAGATGATATTTACCTGTCCAATGACTTCAAGCTTGGCTATGACTTGCTTTGGTCAATAGAATGTAACTGGGTTGATATATGCTCTCTCACATGCACGCACAGAGACCATAGGGTTTACCATACAGTTTTGCCAGCTCTCTTGTTTTATTCCTTCTGCCATAAGAATGGCATGTTTCAGATGGGGCTTCTCCTTCAGCCTGAATCCTGGATAAAGGAGCAATAGAGCCAGAGCCAACCCATTGCCGACATGTAGTGAGAGCTAGAAACAAACCTTTGCAGTGCTTCTTTCCGCAACTTAACCTGGCAAAAGTTACGATCATGACAATTTTCTCTTTATGCCCTCTTTATTTTACATTGCCCCAGCACGTTTAGGTCCAGTGTCTGTAACAAAGGATATTCATTCCTCTTCACAAATACCTTTCCTTCTTATCCCAAGCTATAGAAGACCATGTCACAAAAAATAATTGCATGAAAGAGAGAGAAACTGGTATACTGAGAAAGAAGGAGAAACTGAGTATCTCAGGTCTTTGGGAGAATTACCATTTTGAATATAAAATCACAGTGTCCAGAACTCTTACCAGGGCATATACTGCTCCAACCACATCTAAAATGGGCTCCTAGGCAGAAACATCAACTTCCACCCTAAATCAGTGGCTTTGCTAATCAGCTCTGTTTCAGATTCACCTAGAAAATGCATTAAACCAGATTCCCAGGCTCCACTTTAAGAGTCTGATTCAGTGAGTCTAGGACAGGACCTAGAATTCTTATTTCTTAAACATTCCCCAGGTGATGCCGGTGAGATGCTAGAGTGGGAATCCAGGACCAGCTCTATTTCACTGGCAGGCTTGCCTGGCCTTGAGAATGCTAGCAAAGTCCAGGCCCTGAAGGGTTTTGTCTGAGGCTGGTATGAGATGCTGGCCTCTCTGGTCCATGTGAGAGCCCAGGCCCAGTTCTGGAGAGCTCTGGGAATTCTGGGAACACTCTGTACCCAGTGGTCTTTCTTGGCAGGAGGACAGGAATAGCATACCTGAGTGTATCTGTTCTCCTAGCCCTCTTGTATATCTTCACCACCACAGTTTATCAGGCAGGCTGATTCCTCCTCCATCCTTCAGAGGTGGGGATGGCATCAGCTGTTGCTACCAGCTGAGGAGACCAGTGAACCCAAGAGGTCTTCTGCTGAAGTCTCCATAGAGGTTGACAATCACCTGCCTGTGAACTCACTGGTTACCTGTGGGGACTCAGTGCCTTTCAATAGTCCTTGGACTGTTGCCCTTGAAGTCTCTGAGGAGTCAGACATGAGCCTCAGTGAGCAAAGGAAAATAACAATGCATAGGAAGAACCCAGCCACCAGAGAGAAAAAGAGCTGCTGGGGGAGACAGAAGACAATTTGCATATCATCACAAACATCATCACATCTAAGGGTTACAGAAGGAAAAATGGGACTAGAAATGAGACTTTCCAAAAAAAAATTTTAGTAGGTAAATTGAAAAAGATGGTTCTTGTTGAGATCTGAAGTAGTGAGTTGAAAGATTAAGTGGAAGAAACATAGTGAAACATTAAAAATACATACAAATTTGGAAATCTGGAGGGAAGAGACAAAATACTTGGAGGATAGCTCCAGGAGGAAAATGAACAAACACCAGAAATTCCAAAAGAAAAAAAAAGGAACCTATTAAGGAAATGAAATAATTAAACAAACAAAAATAAACCATTTCCCTAAACCAAGGAAAGATCAGAGTCTGCAAAAACAATGAAAATGACCGATACTCAGGCATATTCTGATAAAATTCCTGACATTTAAGGTAGAAGGAAAAAGAATCCTACAAGCTGCCAAACAGAAACAATGTGTAACTTTAAAAGGAAAAAGAAGCAGTCTGGTATTTGATCTCTCAAGGCAAACTTTGAAGCTAAAAGATAAAATCTATGGACATATGAAACAAAAGAATTGCAATCCTAGATTTCTATGCTCAGCAAAGACAGTCTTCACTTGCCAGTGTGAAAGAGATTTGTGGCAGGGTAAGGCAGAGCTTCTAACTACACAAGTAAGCCTAAACAGAGACTCTGAGGGTGAGAGGTGAAGAGGAGAGGAAAAAGGTAGTGAGAATGAAACTTGCAATTTGGGGAGCTAAACCTATATGGGAGGTAATAAAAGATGGACTGGGATTATCTAACATTAGCATCAAATAAGGATTACTGAATTAAGATAGATATTGACCAGCAGGGGAAAATAAGAACTATCTGGAAGTATTAAACAATGACAGAACAACTGAGGATGGGGGCAGAGTATGAAGTGGGCAGCCACAGGGGAGGAGAAAAGAAGGAAAAGAGAGCATTCCATAATGTTAGTTGGATGGAGACCAGAAGTAGAAATGTTCTAAAGCTTTATTGTTGTGGTGCAAGAGCCCTGGGGAAACACTGACCTGCTGTCTTTGTATAACAGTACTCGGAAGGTAGGATTCTCACTAGCAGAGGAGAAAGTAAAGAACAGTTTGAAAAGCATCAATGATTTTGTCAGGGACCTCCTTCGTTGCTTCTGATATATAGCTAGTGTTCCCTCAACTGTGCCTTGCTTTGACAATTTGGCTCCCGTTTCTGAATTCACCCCACCTCTGGGAACCACCCTGTTCCGACCTTAGTGCCCTACTTTGGACTCATTTGTTTTTGGCCTGAACTCCCAGTGGCCTGGTCTCCAGCCTCTGTGCACTTCAAGGCACCACATTTCACCTCTGCATGGGATGGGTGGCACAGGGAGTTTGCTGTGGAGCATCTGGGCCAAGCCCAAGATGGCTCTGGGTCTCTTACTCTTGAAGGAAAGTAAAGAAGTTGATTCTGGTGATGTTCCAAACTGCTGTCTTGGACTAGCTTAAAACCTTAGAGATGCTGGAATCATCCTTTTTCCCTTTCTCCATTCCTCTTCCACTTCCATCACCACCCAGGATCAAACGCCGAAGGTTCCATTCTGAATTTTGGGTTCTCAGGCAACATATGGCCTGCCTTTTATCGTATTGCCTGTAGCATTCAGGGATTTCAGGAAACCCTTGTGAGACCTTGATCTCATCCTCAGCCCAGCTCATTAGCAACCAACAAGAGACTAGGTGTGGGCCTCTGAATATCACTCAGAATGCCTGAAAATGATAGTAGGCTGACCCCTACTTGTCTAATGCCGGAGAGGTTGAATAACTTGCCCAAGGTGAGAGCACCTGTTGGTGGCAGAGCCAGGATTAGAATCTACCAATTTCCAGTCAAGACTCTCTCTTTCCTCTAGCCCCTGCCAAGTGCCCCTTCCAATCTGAGGCAGAATTTACCAACATTCAGGATGCCCTGCTTAATCTCTCTCTTAGATAAAACTCTAATTGATAGCATTGTGTAGCTTGTGTCTGGAATATGAGGCATCTCAGATCATAATGGTTATACATTTATGCCAAGAAAGCTCTAGCACATAGAAACACATTTAATAAATCCAATAAATGATATGATACATAAAATAATTTATTTAAGACATAATGCTTTTAAAGTTGGAATTACCACTGAGAAAAAACATTTTGCCTCTATGAGGATGATCTGATTAAACAAAAATTCTAGATGGACTCAGTCCATTTTTTGGACCCATATAGGAGTCCTGCATACTAACCCATCAGAGAACAAGAGTAGACAAATTATAAATTTATCTTCTGAAAATGAATCAAGTCATACTTCTCTTCATTCTGGTTACTCTTGTAAAGACACAGCAGGTGAATAAAGGCCTTTTTCGATCTCATCTATTTGTGTCTTATTAAACACTGAGATCATGTAATGCCTCTGTCTCCTAGTAGCAGTATACTGGTAGTTCTTGCAAGAATCACGAACTACAGGGTGAATGAAAAAAGCTTCTTGCTCTTATCTAGTCTTTTGAGATATAAACTATACGCATGAGACAGCAGTTATTTTTTTATTCTTTTAAAGGTCACAAAGGATAAATGATTACAATAACATTTCACCCACTGACTCTAGGTTTTTAACTGTAAATCCTGATATTGATTTTAAAAGCTGCAAATCTTTAATTCAAATATTTCTGATTGGACCATAAATCCTGAAAATCAAATCTGTTTCTGAATGAAGGATCTATGAAAATAGATGATGGATTTCATGGGCTGTCAAAGCAAAAATGTTACATTTCATAGTTTGTCATTGAATATGATATAAAACACCTGCAGGTAGGTTATTTATATTGATAAAATTATTATTCTTCAACACTGGAAACTGTTTTCTGGGGAATAAAAATAAAATATAAAAATAGCTTTTGCCACAACTAGAAATTTTGTGCTTTAGAATTAGATAGTGGAAAATAATGTGGATAAATGCCAAAAACCATTTTCTTTAAGTCAAATATATCAGCTGTCATTTCTCTTAATTGGTGGAAAAGATATACCATTAGTTGAACAGCAGAGCATACTGCAAAGAGCATTTATGGACACTGGTTCCAGTCTCAGCTTTGATGCTCACTTGAGCAAGTTACTTTGCTTCTCTTAGCTGCAGCAGCTTTCCATTGGCCAAGACAGCCAACCAAACTCATCTCAGAGAGTTGTTTTAATGATTAAATTAAGATAACACATGCAACCTGATACATAGTAAGTGCTCAGCTAATGATAGCAATAACAGTAATACAAATTATTATCATTATTGTTTTCATTATACCAAACGAATAATTTCTAAGGCCCTTGGCATGTAGTATGGTCACTAGTTTAATGTGATTTAAAAATTGCTCATGGTTATATATTACCAACTACAAATGGAAAAATGACATTGTTGAAAAGGGAATAAATCAGATATTCAGGGAATATGCAGGCTTCTATTAGGAAGGGAAGATGCAGGCTCAAAGATCCCGAGAACTAGAGTTTGGGTTTCATTTACAGCAGTACATAATCTCAGCTGCACATAAGAAAACTTGCCACTTCTGCTCAGTAAAATACAAATCACCGACTACCCATTTTTATTTTAGGCAGTTAGATAGTTAGTACATCGTTAATTTCTGCACATACTCAAACTCAATATCTCTGTCAGTTCAGTTTTATTTCCACCTCCTTTCAGAGATCCCTGGTTGGAGTTAAAGACTTGCTCTCTGAGTGTCTCTGAGTATACTAATGCAATATGAATCTTTAGGAGCTCCCCTTCTTTGGGGGCAATTTATAACTCAAAACAGCAATGAATTTTCTTTTCAGATGGAAATACTGACAATAAAAAAATGAAGCAGCTTTGAAATGTACATTACTATAATTAAAGTGACTTGCTCTTTGGAAATTCCTGAGGTAAGTCTTTATTGCAACTATTATTTAATGATGAGCATAATAATTAAAGGCTCATTCTCAAAATAATATTAATGCCAGCATTTGGATGGTCCTGTGGCATTTCAGATTACAGAACATGGCCACTGGTGGATGCCTCAGCTCAAGACTCTCTCTGCCTTTTTTTCCGACAATGTGTAAACAAGGCCAAGCCCAAGGCCAGCAGGTACTCAGACTGGTGTTCCTTAGCACACTGTTATAGAAGTCACCAGCTGATGGGCTTTGTAAAAGGTGTGATCAACAAAACTGACTGGATAAACTTAATACTCCACCAGTTGAGGCACAGTGCCCCCAAGGGCATAAAGGCTCAGAAATTGTACAGTAAAGACACCTGTTTAACTTTATTTAATATAGCATTTTAACAAAATTATTTTAATACCAAAACACTTTTTGTGGGCATGTGGCACATCTATTAATATTCTGTGGAGCAGTGTTCTATGAGATGACAGTTTGGGAAACACTAGCTAGACCTGTGCTTTTCATTCCTAGCTCTATTACAGAATCACCTGGGGTTTAAAAAGTATATCAATTCTGGCTCATTGCCCCACTCTTTTAAATGAGTCTGGGGTGATATCCAGGTATTGGTATTATTTTCAAAGGCTCCCTTCCCTAGGCAAGTCTCATGTCCTGCCAGAGCTGAGAGCCACTGACAAAGACCTCCCACTTATGTATCCCAATTATCCCGTTTCTAGTGCATAGAGTCATAGTGAGTAAGAAAAAAAAAAAATCAGGGAGGAAGGCAGCAAATCACACTGCCATGTGTGTACTTATACAACTATCTTGCATGTTCTGCACATGTACCCCAAAACCTAAAATACAATTAAAAAAAGAAAGAAAGAAAATGTGGCACATATACACCATGGAATACTACGCAGCTATAAAAAAGGATGAGTTCATGTCCTTTGCAGGGACATGGATGAAGCTGGGAACCACCATTCTCAGCAAACTGATACAAGAACAGAAAAACAAACACTGCATGTTCTCACTCATAAGTGGGTGTTAAACAATGAGAACACATACATACGGAGGGGACCGTCATACACTGAGGCCTATTGGGGTGGGGGGGAGTAGGGGAGGGATAGCAGGGGGTAGGGGGATTGGGGAGGGATAACACTAGAGAAATACCTAATGTAGGTGATGGGGAATGGATGAAGCAAACCACCATGGCATGTGTATATCTATGTAACAATCCTGCATGATCTGCCCATGTACCCCAGAACTTAAAGTATAATAATAAAAAAAAATGTGCAGTTTTCTAATGGAAAAAAAAATCCAAAGCTCTGATGTGTCTGAGAAAGAAGCTTTCCCTGGGGTCAGATCTGGATCTTGGAGTTTTAGCTGATACATGGAGTTGCCCATTCATGGGCTAACTTCCTATCATGCTTCCTTCTCCTTGGTGGTTACCATTTTCAGCAGGAAGGAGTATAGGCTGCCTGTGCTACCCAGAACCTTTCCTGAAAACCTACAGCTGCCACTATACCAACTTTATGTAAATGACAAATAGTGCTTCCTCACAAAAAATGATGAGATCCTCTGCTGTAGGTAAACTTTCCACTACTTTCTCTACAATTTATGGAAGCATTTTTTCCCATTGAGCTGGCCAGTGCTGGAAGCCCCGGAAGTGTCCATATCATTAGTGTTGTTTCCCTGGGTAATGGGAGCTAGGGAGGAAGCCTGGGAAGTAGAGCCTCAGAAAGCTGTGACTAATGTAGATTTCTAGCTTTAAATTTGTTCCTTGAGTCTGAGATTTTCCAGAGTTTTACCGGAAGAGAAAACCTATTTCTCCTCCTCTTTAAATAAGAAACCAAAATTTACTGATTAAGCAAGACCAGAGAGAAAAACAAGATGACTAAAGAAATGAGATCATCTTATTTAAGAGTACAGGAAAAAGTGAAGAGGCACTTAATACTTATTGAGCATATAGGATGTGCTAGGATAAATACAGTTTTTTTCATATTTTCATCTCATTTAATCCTGACACAACCTCTTGAGATGATTTTTCTGTTCTCACTTTTGTGACTGTGGAAAGGGAGGCCCAAAGGGGCCCACGGTTGGAAGTGAGACAGAGCTGGGACCTGAACCCAGGTCTAGTGATGATGATGGCCAAACCAGACCTGGATGAGCCAGTTCTTCACCTCTGCAGCACCCACCATGAGAAAAAGAATGGAAAACTCCAACCTGAGATCAGTGACCTATTGAGAGCTCAGGTTTTTTCATCCGGCCTGCATTGTGACTCTCAGTGTATTTCATATCATCTCCAAAACAGTATCTGAATTTTATAAGATTTTCTCTTCAATGTTCTACTCTGGGCTTTGAAACAGAAGAAGGGTTAAGGCTGTGGGGAAATGCAGCCTGTCCTGCTCCCTGGGTTCTTCTTTCACTACTCAAAAAATTCATAGGTGTGAGGGTAGACTCCTATAATGGTAACAACATGAGCACTGGATTAGAACTGGATTTAAATCTTATACTGTGATCTACTAATTCTGTGACCTTCGGTGAGTTATTTTACCTCTTTAGGCTTTAGTCTTTTCATCCATTAAATGAGGTAACAATAACATTTGTCTCATAGAGTTGTGAATAAACAAGATTACAACTCAGGTCTCCTGAATTTACTTTCCATTAGACGCATACACCCAAACATGTAAAAGATCTAAATGCTTCACAGCTTTCCAAGGCTTGTCATCTGTGAAGCTCAGGTAGAGTTGCAGAGTTGCAAGTTTTGGTATTTATCAATTCATTAATTCAGTCATCAATGTATTGCTTTAGTCATTCAATAAATGTTTTCTTGAGTGCCTATTGTGTATTAGGCATTTTGTTAGTCACCGAAGATAACGGCAATTTTCATGTAGCTTAGAGTCTGGCTAAGACAAATATGACTGTATCATTATTTATACTCATTAGAGGTTCACAAGAATGATATTTTCCACTAATTTGTTAATGCGAGTCTGCAGAATTTACATGCATGTAATAGTATTCAGTTTAAGTTAATATGTTTGCCCACTGTTGATTATCATAACTGTTAACTATGGTTAATTTCCAATCTGACTAGCTCTCTGGAAAAGCAAAAAACACCCTCCCTCTATTTTGCTGCTCCAAAGTGGCAAAGAGCAGATGCCCAGGTGAATGGCAGTGAAGAATGTATATTGAGTGAGCTCTTATGGGTTCTGCATTGAAGCATTTGGAGTTTAACTGTTCGTTGTCATTGAAAGTGAAGGCCTTTCCAATAGGCAGCCTGGAGTGCTGAGAGGCCAGATCCTCAGCTAGGACTGAATGTCGGTAATTTACTAGTTTATTTTTTCTTGTCTGTTTTATGGCATGTTCTTTTCAGAGAATTCCCTAGTTGCTTTGTTCACATATACATTCCATCGATATTAATTTCTGTGTTATAGTAACAAGAAAAGAGTAAAACCAGAAAAAGGAAAGCCTTATTTCTCACTATGAATAGCCCAGGTCCACAGGAAGGAGAAATGAGAGCAGAGAGGTGGCATTCCAGCCTGTTATTCAAGGCCCAGTCAACCCTGACTGGTTCCCTGGTTTTCTCCTTTGCTTTTCTCTAAGGAAGAAAATCAGCTTGAAAAGTCAAGAAGAATGAAGAACTTTTTAAAGGCAACATAATTTACAAGATCAGATATTGATAGAGTAACTTTCGGAACTCCCTTTGCATTTAGAATACCCACTCTACATGGCATGTCACTCTAGCAGAGCGAGGCTTGCCTCCACACCAAAAGCCCTAATTCACTTCCCACGGAGGCCCTCCCCATTCCCCAGCAGCACTTCCCTTTATCTTAGATAAGGGAAGATAAGGCAGATAAGATTTGGCACCAACATCTATCTTGCATGCATTTTATGACACTGCAGATGAAAACTACCTGCTCGGGTTTGGCGCCACTTTTTTACATTTGATTCTTATGGAGGAAAACATTGCTTTACCTGATACTCATAAAATACCACATTTGCCACTGAGAGGCTTCTATATCCAAACATTCTACCCCGCCCCTCATGCCTCATCTTGATCTTCACAGCTGAGGCCCATCTGTATCATCCACCTTTCCAGCTGACAGTGAGAGAGCCAATGAAATGCCTTTTCCTGTTGCTGGGTGACTGCAAATATTTTGAAAACAAGTTCCTTAAAGGCAGCAGCTTCAAAGCCTGCCATTGGCTGGCTGGGCGTACTGTGCAATGCTGACGCATGAGGTCTGGCAGAGGAGTGACAGTTGGGAATAGCTACACAAATATATTACTGGCCTGATGGGCCACTGGAGGGAAAGACTATTTCAAGGCTGAATGACAACTATAACATACCCCGTTAGAAGAAAAATAAATCTCCACACTCAGGCATCTGAAGAACACTGCAGAAAATATTGCAGACAAAAAAAAAAAAAAAAAAAAAAACAAAAAAACTCAAGGTTGTCCGACCCTCAAAATATCCTGCTTTTTATGATCTGATGAGCAGTTCTTTCTGTTCAAGAAATACATGGATATTTCCACATACTTTTGTAGAATATGTGTTCGTACATTTTAAAGCCCGAGCTTGTTTTCTTGGAAAATAATTTTCAACAAAGTCATGGAGGATATTCTTCGCCTCCTTGTCTCCAGCGTCCCTTCCTTCACCTTCCTCCCCTGACCTTCAAGTCCAAAAATGCAGCAGGCACAGGATGCGGTCAGTGTTAGGGGCAACATTGGATTTTATCTCACTCTGTCCACTTAAAATATTTGCATCCTGGTGGGAGGATAAGCACAGTCCTGTCTAAACAGCTTTGGGGTTCATCTTTGCAGCCGGAGAGAGCTGTTTGGATACAAGTAACTGCTTTCGCTAGCACCAGGTTAACTGTTCACACACAAATCTGCCAACGAGCCTCTAGAAAGGAATGTCCTTTTACTAATTGAATTCTAATGAGGCCAGGAAGTAGATTAGGAATTGAGCTATTTTACTGTGAGTTTCAAACATCAGATATAGCGATGTT